TCTCATGCGTGTGCAGAGGTATCCTACTTATCTTGAGTGAAGAGACATGAGGGGGGAGAAAAAAAGACTGGTGCTGACGCATTTCAGGAAAGATGCCTGTCGGTTAATGCCATGCTCCTCGAATTCCCTCAAGCTGCCTCAGTTATTGCTCCTGCTGATCCTGGTTCTCCAGCTGATTCGATGATTCCAAAAGCCACCCTATACCTTCTAATACATTTCTTTTACCTTCAAGGTAGAGAATAGGCCTCTGTTGCTTGGAACCAAAGACCTCCTTCTGCCATCGGTGGCTTTGGTTTACGTCCCCCTGGCAGGCTTTCCCTCACCACTTTCTGGCAACAAGCCCCACCCATGCCCTAACGACGGCATCTTCACCTCCAATTGTTTATTTATTTTTGAGAGAGGGAGAGAGAGCGAGAGAGCACATGTGCGTGCATGAGCGGGGGAGGGGCAGAGAGAGAGGGAGACAGAGAATCCGAAACAGGCTCCAGGCTCTGAGCTGTCAGCACAGAGCCCGACACATGGCTTGAACTCACAAACCGTGAGATCATGACCTGAGCCGAAGTCAGATGCCCAACTGACTGAGCCACGCAGACGCCCCGGCATCTTCACCTCTAGATCCTATTGCCTCTAACCCAAGATCTGTTCCTCTTACACTTCTGGATTTATGAGCCAACAAATCTCCCTTTGTCAGCCTCGTCTAGTTTGAGTCAGGTTTCTGTCACTGACAATTGACGGAAATCACCCCGTGCCCAGCCTTCCTCTTGTCTGTCCTGTACGTGTATACGCGGAGCTAAGCATAAGGCCTGGAAGTCAACAAGTGCTGAGCGAATCAGTAAACTACTGCATTCTTAAAAATCAGAGACGTTTTGGGGCGCCTGGGTGGTTCAGTCGCTTAAGCGTCCGACTTCAGCTCAGGTCACGATCTCGCGGTCCGTGAGTTCGAGCCCCGCGTCGGGCTCTGGACTGATGGCTCAGAGCCTGGAGCCTGCTTCCGATTCTGTGTCTCCCTCTCTCTCTCTGCCCCTCCCCCGTTCATGCTCTGTCTCTCTCTGTCTCAAAAATAAATAAAACGTTAAAAAACATTTTTTTTTAAAATCAGAGACGTTTTTATAAAGCTGTAATAAGAAACGGGAAAGGTTGCTTTGAGAGGCTGAATGGTTAAGTAGACCGCTGCAGCCAGACCACCTGGGAGTGAATCCTAGCTCTGCCATTTAGCATCTCTGTGACCTTGGGAATTGATTATTTCTCTGTGCCTCGGCTTCTTGAACGCTGAGATGTGGATGATAATAGGACCTACCTCATAAAGTCATGAAGATTCAATTAGTTGATTTACAAAAAGCATTTAAATAATGCTTGATACATACAAGGTTTTTTTTTAAGTCTGTTTTTTTTGTGATGCTGATACTCTTTTGGATGAAGGAGTCAATATTGAAAAAGACTTTGATGGGGTCTTAGGTGAAATGCCTACTTTCCCTAAGAGTCACGTTTTTACTGTTTAACCAGGCACATATAAAGACCCACAATCTGACTCAAATAACTGACCGTAAGGTGGTTTAGCAGCAGTTCATGTAATAAAGACCTTGAATTTGGGGAGTGGCACGGGTTAGCTGACTACAGGTTCATTTGGAGCTAGGAGAATGGCAAGGCTATCATAAAACGAACTCCCGGAGATTAGACTGAGTTACTAGCAGCAGTGTCCATTAAAGAAGATTATAACCCTTGGGTCCTTCGCTCAGCTCTCATCCAATGAAGAGTGCGTGCTTAGCACTTGGTCAGGCTGGAGAGCCTCTAATAGAGAGGGAGAGGAAAAGGAGCGAGGTGGCAAACCTCGGTGCAATTTGAAGAACAGTTGAGAGCCCTCAAACGGCTTGCTCTGAATACCAGGAGACTCCGAGAAGAGGACATAACAGTCTTCGGATACTTGAAGTGTCCTGTGCAGGACTTCATCTGACATGCTCCAGAAGCCCAGGGTGGAATGCCTCGGGGGGGGCAGACTCCAGCTCAGCGGGAGGACGTGCTCTTTTCCCGGGGAGTGCCTGTCTGCTGATGGAGAGGGCTGCCTTGCAAAGTTGCATGCAAGCTGGGTGAACGTGAGTTTAGGGACACATTTGCAAAGCATTGTGGGAGGGATGGATCATACAGGACTGGTCTGTTTCATTTCACACTCTAAAAATAGACACGAGTCTATTTTTTGAGGTTTTTGTTATTTATTTATTTGAGAAGAGAGAGTATGTGTACTTGAGCGGAGGAGAGGGCAGTTGGGGGGGGGAGAGGGAGAGAGAGAGAGAGAGAGAGAGAGAGAGAGAATCTTAAGCAGGCTCCATGCTCCGTGCAGAGCCCGACACAGGCCTTGATCTCATAACCCTGGGATCATGACCTGAGCTGAAATCAAGAGTCGGACGCTCAACCGACTGAGACACTCAGGCACCTCAAACGTTTTCAGATTTCTTACTTTGTACAATTTTTTTTTAAGGAGGCTCCATGCCCAATGTGGGGCTTGAACTCACAACCCTGAGATCAAGAGTTGCCCAGAGGCCCCACAGTACAGAAATTCTTAATTAAGTACGGCTGTGTATCCAAAGCGAGGCAACAATTTAAATTTCTTGGACCTCTATTGTTGCTTTTCCTGGAAATTTTGTTTTTGTTTTGGCGCTTGCTTTTTTTCTGATTTTTCTGATTAAAGTAACATATAGTGATTGTAAACCATTTTGGAAAATTTGGAAAAAAGTTATGAAAACCTTTCTGGATTCAGAAATTACATATAAAAGTTAAAAATGCACACTTTAGGCTGTTAGTTTTACATTTATTGGATGTGCTTGAGCTGTTTTTACTCATAACACTTCTGACACCAAATGTGTTGGGGTTTTTTCCACATCAATTGATCCTTCAACTCTCTAGACATCATTTGCTTGTTCCACAATTCAATTCTGACGCTAACTACCAGGAGTCAGCACAGAACTTATAGGACTGCCCAGTCAAAAGTCTGAGATAGTCACCAGTACTTCTGACCAAACAACCAGCTACAAATTGGGGGGTCCCATGATTCCTTCCTCAGGTTCGATAATTTGATAGAGTGGCTCACAGAACTCTGAAAAGCACTTCACTTACTGTTCATGGTTTATTATAAAGGATACAACTCAAGAGTAGCTAAATAGAAGAGATGCATAGGGAAAGATATGTGGGAAGGGGTTTCCATGCCCTCCCTGGGAGGGCCACCCTCCCAGTGTCTTGATGTGTCCACCAACCTGGAGGCCCTCTGAACCCCATGGTTTAAGGGTTTTTGTGGAGGTTTAATTATGTAGGCATGATTGTTGAAATCATTGGCCATTGGTGATTGAACTCAACCTCCAGCCACTCCCCCCTTCTCAGAGGTCAGAGGTGGGGGGTGGGGCTGGTGGAGGTAAAAATTCCAACCCTCTAATTATGTCTTGGCCAACCCAGCACCCATCCTGAAGCTATCGAGGTGCCCCCCTCCCTAGGTACAAAAGACACTTAGCACACTCCAGAGATTCCAATGGTTTTAGGAGCTGTGTGTCAGGAGCTGGAGACAAAACCAAATATATGTTTTTAATTAAGTCACAGTGCTTCTTTTAAAAATGTTTAGGGGTACCTGGGAGGCTCAGTCGGTTAAGCGTCCAGCGTCCAACTTCGGCTCAGGACCCTGAGGAATCTCACGGTCCCTTAGTTGGAGTCCCAGCTCAGGCTCTGTGCTGACAGCTCAAAGCCTGGAGCCTGTTTCAGATTCTGTGCCTCCCTCTCTCTTTGCCCCTCCCCTGCTTGCTCTCGGTCTCTCTGTCTCTCTCAAAAATAAAATGTTTTAAAAAACCTTTCTTTAAAGAAATAGAAATGTTTAAAATGCCCCAACAATAGGTGCTGACTGGTTCGTCTTCTGAGGATTTCAAAACAATTTACAAATACCACTTCTCTGACTATAAAAAGGTAAAATGGGTCTTCTAGTTTTTAAAAGCATACTGATTCTTTTGAGCTCTTTGGGTTTGTACTGATCTAATCTATGCTTATAACTTTGTTGGCCTCTTGGCTAGAAACAGACTGGATCTTCAAAGAGTTCCGGGTCAGACAACCAAGGCCGGAATCTAAAGACCATCAGCCAAATACCTGGTTGACACATTTTAATTAAAATTGTTCTGTTAATGGGCTTTCCTCCTTTGTATGGTGATAAATACCAGGCAGCTTAACTAACATTTACTGGCAATTCCTGACTCCAGGGGTTCACTAAGTGTGGCCCTGAAGGGCAGCATCAGCATTACCTGAGAACTTGCTAGAAATGCAAATTCTCAGGACGCCTGGGTGGCTCTTGGCTCAGGTCATGATCTCACAATTCATGAGTTCGAGCCCCGCATCAGGCTCTGTGCTGACAGCTCGGAGCCTGGAGCCTGCTTCGGATTGTGTGCCTCCCTCTCTCCGCCCCAACCTACTCGCATTCTGTCTCTGTCTCGCTCAAAAATAAATAAACATTAAAAAAATTATTAAAAAAAAAAAAAAGCAATGCAAATTCTCGTGGCACCTGGGTGGCTCAGTTGGTTGAGTTTCTGACTTCAACCTAGGTCATGATCTCGTTGTTCCTGAGTTCAAGCCCCGCGTTGGGCTCTGTGCTGATAGCTCAGAGCCTGGACCCTGTTTCATATTCTGTCTCCCCCTCTCTCTCTCTGCCCCTTCTCCACTCATGCTTGCGCGCTCTCTCTCTCAAAAATAAATAAAAAATTGAAAAAAAAAAAAAGTGCAAATTCTCAACCCACCCCAGACCTACCGAGTCAGAAACTCTGGGGTGAAGTCTAGCGATCTGTGTTTTAACAAACCTTCCGTGACGCACAGAAAACGTTTGAGAACCACTGCCTTAGTTACCCCCCCCCCCCCCCCCCCAAATCATGAGGAATTTGCTCTAATTGACTCACACACTCAACTCCAGTCACATGTGTATCTGGATCCGGGTGGTGGTTACACAGGCACATAACTCCATAAAAACTCCCCAAGCTCTACACTTAAGATCTATAAATTTTCCTTGATTTAATCAAACCTCGATTAAAAAAAAAAAATCACAGTCAAACTGTACTTCTAGAAAGCTGGTTGGGGCTGGGCTTGTCCCTGTAAATGAAGGTCATCAGACCCAGGGACCTTGGCTAGAGTAACACTGTTCTCTAACTTGCCATGGTGAGCCATTCCCTGGTGCTGACAGCCAAGGACGCCTGTCTGCAGCAACCTCAAAGGGGTTTATTGACGTCATTTAGCAGTGAGTTAGTCCCCAGGCGATGGCCTCAACTTGTTCAGTATCATCGCAGGTATGTCCCCGAGCCAAGACGTGAGCCGCAGACACGGGAAGCCCTAATGTGATCCTGGCAGCAGATAGGCGGAAGCACTGGTCCTTCAAGCAGCACAAGAAAAAATAAGAGGAATCCAGGAAGCAGTGATAAAACCCAGCTGATCGGGGCTGTACATACAAGTCTTGGGCAACAGAGAAGCCATGGCCATGAGTCACATAAGCAAGAACAGACCTGCTGAGGCACAGTCCTCAGTCCTCTCCTGCTGGCAGAGTCCTCAAGAAGCTGAGATAGGGGGTGGAGGGAAGCACTGGCCAAGAAGTGTCCTGCAAGGCCACAGCTTCTAGCAGGCGACTGTCCTCTTTTCTGCTTGTAAAAGTGAGGCACGGACCCTGGAGAGCCATGATGTCAATTCTGCACCGAGTCTCAGAACCACAGAAATCCTCTGCCCCAGCCCTGGGTTCCTTTTGTGTCCTGAAATGGAAACAAAAACAAAAACAAAAACAAAAACAGCTTTCAGTCTCCCTGACCCATCAGGAACTGCCTTCTTGATTAACCACCCCTCTCCCGTTCTTATTTGGGGAATCCTTGCTACACTTTGCATCTGGACCCACTCCTGCTGATCTCCACACTGCTGGGAAATGCGAGTGAGCCTGGCGGCAGCGAATGTTCACTAAAAAGAAAAGCAGAAGGAAAACTGCACCAGCAGGTGGACCCAGAGTCCAAACTATGTTGTGCTCATGCGCGGGCACCTGCGGCTCTCCCAGCTAGCCTGGGTCCTCCCAGTTGCTTCTACAGCCCTGATCTGTCTCTGAGCCTCTTGAATTGTGTCAAATGGGACATTTTTCATTCAAGTACTATGAGATATATATATATATATATAATATATATATTATATATATAAATATATATAATATATATATTTAGTCCACCCTTACCCAGTTGAAATAGAAACAAATTTAAAGCCATTCCTATCTTGGGGCGCCTGGGTGGCGCAGTCGGTTAAGCGTCCGACTTCAGCCAGGTCACGATCTCGCGGTCCGTGAGTTCAAGCCCCGTGTCAGGCTCTGGGCTGATGGCTCAGAGCCTGGAGCCTGTTTCCGATTCTGTGTCTCCCTCTCTCTCTGCCCCTCCCCCGTTCATGCTGTCTCTCTATGTCCCAAAAATAAATAAACGTTGAAAAAAAAATTAAAAAAAAAAAAAGCCATGCCTATCTAAATCAGCGAAGTTCCCATTTCCCAGACCATTTCAGGCTGGGAAGCAGGTAGCCTAGGCAGGTCACTTTCCAGCTCCTTTTCAGTTTTGTTTCTGATACTTCGATTGCACTACTTTCAAATAAACAAATGGCGAATGCTCATTTGTTCCTTTGGCCACCCAGCTTCCAAACTTTACTTCTGTGTTGGGTGACTCTTTCATTGTCTTAAGTGTTGGGGGGGGGGGGAAAGGCTTCCCTCCCACTACAGAACCTGAGGTGGACAGGTCACCCCTGTCTCCATCCCCTGGGATTTAGCCTGGGCAGCTGGGGACCTGAGCTCAGCCAATCAGATGCTGCCACCGGCGACTTTAACTCTTGAGCAATAATGCAAAGAGGAAGGGACCACTGAGAAATTATTCACTGGGACAACAGAGCATTGTGCTGACGTGTGACCTTGTCAGGTAACTAGTCAAGGCTAGTTTCTGTCCTTGGTCTCTTTGGGCCACTTTAGTGTTTGCTGTTCACTCCCTGCTTCTGTGAGACTTGGGCTCAGAATCCCCAGATCCCATGGACACCAAATAGCATTGCCATCGCAGGCTCTGTAACCCAGTAGTGCAACCCTGGTGGGTTGCCGAGCCCGGTTGTGTAGGGGTTAGATTGCCTGGTGATTCCTGCTTGAATGAAGGCAGGGGAGGTGGAAATACATTCATTTTTACTTTTGTTGATAACTCACTCCTTTCCTGTCACTTCTCATGAATACATTCAAGAGATATTAAGGAGATAAAATCAAAGTAATTTTATGATTCCTTAGATGTGCAAATCAAGATTGAGTCCCAGGACTCTAACTCAAGCAATTATATCAATAGCTAAAACTTCCTGAGAATGCAATACATGCCAGGAACTATTCCTGGTGTTTTATGTGTATTCTACCATTTAAACTCACCACAATCTTCACATATAGGAAGTATAATCATTCACATTTTAGAGATTAGAGAACCAAGACACAAAGAAGTTAAGTAACTTGCCCAAGGTTATCAGCCAGAAGGTAGTGGAGAGGTGCTACAAACCTGATGAATCTGCTTTCAGAGCCATGGTGACAAATGGGTGCCATTTATTGAGATAGGGGAAATGAGAAGAACTGATTTTATGAAGGGTGACAGTGGGTTCAGTTGATAAGCGTGTAAGTTTAAGGTGCCTGGGTCATGCCCAAGTGGGGTTGCAAATCTGGGTCGAGAGCTTAGGAGAGAGATCGAGATACAGATACAGACAGAGGAATCATCAGTGTATAGAAGTAATTGGAACCGTTAGAAGTGGAAATGATCCTCCAGGGAGAGTAGGAGAAAAGTTGAGAGCAGAAGAAAAACAAAGAGACTTTGGGAATATAAGAAGAAAAGCCTATCGAGGATACTGAGAGAGGTAGAGGAAAAACGAGGAGAATACAGTGGTCTAGAAGTCAGAAGAAATGATCTCAAAAAGAAGGGATGGGGGCGCCTGGTGGCCAGTGATATGGCACACTTCCAATATGCCAAGTGTATTAAGAGTGGGAACTATTCATTAGATTTGGCACCATGAAAGCAGTTGGAAATCTTGGCAATAATAGGATCAGTGGAAGGGCATCAGTAAAGGCCAGACCGGAGCGGGCTCATGGATATAAAGGAAGAACAATGGAAGATAGTCTTCTCTGTGTGTGGAGCTTCTGGTCGTGCTCCCTAGGCCAGATGTCAGCATGTGGAGGTGGGCGGCCATTGGAAGGCAGGCTTGGAGTTCTGCCAGGCCGGGCAATGGAATTTAAGAACATGAGTTGAGAATCTTGGAAAGAGTGTGGTTGAAATGACAGGCACAGCATCTCAGAAGAGACAGTGTAGGAACAGGAGGAGGGGCTGATCAGAAATACGTAAGGGGACCAAGTGTGGTTGGGGCAATTAAAGGGAAGTGCGGAGGGAATAGGAGGTTAAGGCCAGAGAGAAGGGTGTTTGAGCGGAAGAGTTCCAAAGTGGGGCAATGTGGGTTGAGGATGGCCCACAATGGGCCTTACCATGGAAGGGTAAGCTGAGATCTCAGGGTGAAGGTAAGTCCCCCAGTTACCAGCCTACACTTTTGGGTTAGAAAGACAGAATCTTCATGTCCTGCCAAGAAACATAGTAATAAGATAAGGCAGCTTGGTGTATAGAGACTTGATAATATCCAAAGCCTGGAAGAGATATCGTTATGGGTTGAATTGTGTCCCTCCCAAGTTCACATGTTGAAGTCACTCCCAGTACCTCAGAAAATGACCGTATTTGCAAGTTTTGTCTCAACAGAAGTAATTGGGTTACAATGAGGTCATGAGGATGGGACCTAATTCAATATGACTCGTGTCCTTATAGAAAGGGGGAAAATTGGGGGAGGGGAAGGAAAAAAAAAAAAGAGGTTAGAGTGGGAGAGAGCCAAAGCATAAGAGACTGTTGAGAACTGAGAGCAAACTGAGGGTTGATGGGGGGTGGGAGGGAGGAGAGGGTGGGTGATGGGTATTGAGGAGGGCACCTTTTGGGATGAGCACTGGGTGTTGTATGGAAACCAATTTGACAATAAATTTCATATATAAAAAAATAAAATAAAATAAATAAAAAAAAGAAAAAAAAAAAGAAAGGGGGAAAATTGGACAGGGAGAAACACACAGAGGGAAGATAATGTGAAGACACGGGGAGAATGCCATATGAACATGAAGATGGCCATCTACGGGCCAAGGAGAGAAGCCTGGAACAGATCCTTCCTCATATCCTTCAGAAGGCACTAGGCCTGCCCAACATCTTGATTTTGGACCGTTAGCCTCCAGAACGATGGGACGACAAATTTTGTTGGTTAAGTCATCCAGTTTGTGGTCCTTTGCTACAGCAGCCCTACCAGGCGAATACCGATGCCACCCCCAAACTCTCTCAGGACCTCCCCAACGGCCATTGCGTTATGTATTATCGAACAGAAGTTAGGCCATCACTGAGGTGATGCCCAAGGGCCTGGGGTTACAGTGATTGCTCTGGCTAGGAGGCAGAGTTCCCTGAAGCACACATACGCCTGATTCCTGAACAAAGTCAGGACTCAATGGGCAAAGAAGAGGGGTGGGAAGGCTAGCGGGTAGACAGCCATGGTGTCCGCTGCGTTACCTGAGGGTCTATGCCTTATGACTTGCTCAGCCTGCTGGTTTTGGCATTGTGTTAAGCATCCATGTACCTTTGGGTCTCGAGGAATAGACACACACAGCTTCTTTACGCCGATGAAGCCTTGAGTGAGGATACTCCTGAACCTAAGCTAGAAGAGAGACTCAGGGTGTCAGGGAAGAACTCCATGGACACTGAGAGGTGAAGCCAGTTCCTTGTACTTTAACCTGAGCTGTTTGATTACATCCAGAAATAGTCAACAAACTTTCACGACCCACGTTTCAAAATAGCTTTTAAACTTTATTTCGTAATACCCAAAAAGCGTTTTGACACCCAATCTTCCAAACAAAGCATAAAATGAGTAAAAACCAAATTTAATATGAACCGCAGTGGTGAAAGTCTCACTCCGCCTATGTCCAGGTCAGGTGTCCACGAGCCTTCCTGTGATGGTCACTGCAAGGGACAAAGCAGGAAAACAAAGACAGCTCCAGGGGACAGGTGATATGGGGGACTTTTCCTTGATCCCACAGGTCCATGCCTAGAATTTTTCTCACTCTTGCCTAAATTCCTGTCTCCTGAGCACCAGTCTCTGCTAAGTTTCTAGCTTTCCTTGGCATGTTCCAAGAGCTGGAGTGTTCCAACTTGCAGGGGATTTTCCCTCCTCCGTCTTGCTATTCCCGAGTGACTTTTTGGCTCAGAAGGAACCTTAAATTTTATAATGGTGATGATGAAGGATGGCCCAGTCCCTAAGCTGTCATCCTGTCTTTGTTGCTATCCCCTGAGGTCTTGTCTCTCTTTTGGGCGGGGGTCACCTGGCCTTTGGCCACTGTACACGGACTTCTGCTGCTGACATTAGTGAGTCTTGCCTCCCATTGTCCCGACCCTACCACTTTTCTAGGCTTTCCCAGACCCCCTAGCTGCGTTCCTTGTCCTGTTCTGGAGGGTCTGGTCCTCTGTGAAGCTTCCCTGGGGCAGGGGAAGTAGAGGGGCATCGGCACATCCATGCAAACAGTCCTCTCACCCACTGCTAATCCACTTCCTACGATTGAGTTGTTCCGGCACCATCCCAATCACAGGCATCTCTAGGAGGCTTACAACTTTGCCATGTCCTGGAAAGCAGGAAACGAACCCATCTGCTTTGAGTTTCTCTGCACCTCTTTGCCGGTCATCGTCACTGCCTTACATCAGAATGTTGGCCCCAAAGTGGGGACCAAGAAACAGACCCTCACATGTGTTGAGTACTCACCTCCCTCAAATCTCTCCAAGCACCTTCCCAACCCAGAAACATGACCTGTATGTCCCATTCTGCAGTTGCTGTCCTCAACGGCTCTTCATAAGCTCTATGATTAATCTTCTAAGTTTAATTCTCGGCATTTGGAGGCATCGAGAGAATCCTGTCTCATTCAGGTGCTTCATTCTTCCGGTAGAAAGTCAGGCCTCTCATCACTATTTTTTCTGCATTAGGCTTTAAAATATCTGTTTTGAAAGTCAAAATTGAAGTGTAATTTCTTTGTTCTAAACTGGTTCCATCATTCCTCTGCAGGTCATGCACTTAGAAAACTATTCTGAGGGGTGCGCGGGTGGCTCAGTCGGTTAAGCGACCGACTTCGGCTCAGGTCATGAGTTCGAGCCCCGCGTCGGGCTCTGTGCTGATGGCTCGGAGCCTGGAGCCTGTTTCCGATTCTGTGTCTCCCTCTCTCTCTGCCCCTAACCCACTCGCAGTCTGTCTCTGTCTCTCTCAAAAATAAATAAACATTAAAAAGAAAAGAAAAGAAAACCATTCTGAAGAAAAAAGAAGAAAGAAAAAAGGGCCGCCTGGGTGGTTTAGTTGACTGAGCCTCCGACTCTTGATTTCAGCTCAGGTCATGAGATCGTGGGATCGAGCTCTGAGAGTGCAGAGCCTGCTTAGGATTCTCTCTCTCTCTGCCCCTCCTCCCCCTCAAATTAAAAAAAAAAAAAAACCCCAAAAACTATTTTGCTTGATGGTTGGGGGAAGAGGGTCAGGGTAAAGAAATGAAAAGCATATAATTTAACATTAAACATTACCCCATTACAGAACCTAGCTCTCTTACTTTCTAACTGTGTGACCTTGGGAAAACTGTTTATCTGCCTAAAGCCTCAGTGATGATTTGTAGAATAGAGAAAATAAATAGAACTTTATCCACGAGTTTGTTGCAAGAATAAATAATTCATTTCAAGTGCTCAGTGTAGTGAAGAAAAAATAAAGTGCCCAGTGTACTATGGAGTACAGAGTGCTTGCTTTTTGCACACACTGTTACCCCTAAATTCTATTTTGCGACAATATTTTACAGCATATAAATGAACAATTAAAAGCATGTACTAGATATTTGGAACAACGATGAGGTGGTTATATATGTGACAGGTACTAACAGGTTGCAGACTCCTTCAGCCCTCCGGTAAATTAGGCCACGTGAGTGGATTAAACACCCAGGGAAATGTACGGAAGAGTTGAAGCCCTTACCCAAGGCACAGCAGTGTTCAAAGGGCGAGCAGACAAACAGTAAACGTCCAGATGAGAGGGGTGGGGGAAAGCAGGGGAGGGTGACATCATAGAAGGCGAGGCACAAGGGGAGCCTGGATGGCTCAATGGGTTAAGCATCCGACTCTTGATTTTGGCTCAGGTCAGGATCCCAGGGTCGTGGGATTGAACCCCGCATTGGGCTCTGCCCGGACAGTGCAGAGCCTGCTTGGGATTCTCCCTCTCCCTCTCTCTCTGCCCCTTCCCTGCTTGCACACACACGTACTCTCTCAAAATAAATAAACTTAAAAAAAAAAAAGTCAAGGCACGAAATCCTTTCAGTAAGGAAGGAGTGGCCAAGTGAGTAAATGCTGGAGAGGGGCCTCAGGAGCTCCTATTCCACCTGGCTAAGGAATGAAGGCAGATGAAGAATTGGGGACAGCAAGTGCTGACAACCTATAAAGAAGGAAAATAAGGGGGGCGCCTGGGTGGCGCAGTCGGTTAAGCGTCCGACTTCAGCCAGGTCACGATCTCGCGGTCCGTGAGTTCGAGCCCCGCGTCGGGCTCTGGGCTGATGGCTCAGAGCCTGGAGCCTGTTTCCGATTCTGTGTCTCCCTCTCTTTCTCTGCCCCTCCCCTGTTCATGCTCTGTCTCTCTCTGTCCCAAAAATAAATAAACGTTGAAAAAAAAAATTAAAAAAAAAAAAGAAGGAAAATAGGGCTAAAGAGAGGTGGTCACTGAGTCAGTCTGAGATTTGTCTGCTTTTAGGATGCGAGAGACATCCCATCCTAACGGTGCCCTGGATGAACCAGTGGGGAGGGATCTGGAGAGGGCAGAGAGAGGACCATTCTGAGCTAGAGGGAGCAGAGAGAGGACCATTCTGAGCTAGAGGGGGCAGAGAGAGGACCATACTGAGGCAGCCCGAGGAGAGATACCCAGATTCTGATGGGAGAAGAAGGTTCAAGCTCTAACTGGAGAGGGAAGGAGACTAGCTGGGTCCAGTTGTAAGCGTGCAGAGTCAGTGGCGGGAAGTTGGGTACGTTCCTAGCTGTTGGCTTCTCTTTTCTCTGTGAAGTCATAGGCAGAGCCATCTCATTCAGAGAGAGGGCGCGATGAATAAAGGGCTGGAGAAGGGTGGAGGGGACATTGGGGGACCATACAGAGAAGGTACACCGCAGGGCTCACTGATCTATCCAGTAACACAAAGTATCATCACACGGAGCTTTGAAAATGAAAAATTTGAAATGTGGGAAGGATATTTTTGGAGGGCTTCAAAGTGGAGGGTGTATTTATGCCATCGGCTCTAAACACTATTTTGGAACACGTGCATAAAGGAATGATATTTAGTAAGACAGGATTTTATCGGCCCAGTTTTTTTTATGGTTGTAACCCCTCCCCAAACCCCAACTACGTAAGCTCTTTAATATTTTAGGGTTTTTAAAAAATATATAATTTATTCTGAAGTTGGCTAACATACAGTGCATACAGGGTGCTCTTGGTTTGGGGTGTAGATTCCTGTGATTCATCACTTACATACAACACTCAGTGCTCATTCCAGCAAGTACCCTCCTCAATGCCCGTCACCCATTTCCCCCTCTCTCCTGCCCCCCTCATCAACCCTCAGTTTGTCCTTTGTATTTAAGAGTCTCTTGTGGTTTGCCTCCCTCCCTCTCTGTTTGTAGCTAGTTTTCCCCCTTCCCTTCCCCCATGGTCTTCTGGTCTTTCTCAAGTTCCACATATGAGTGAAAACACATGAAATCTTCTTTCTCTGACTGACTTGTTTCACTTAGCATAATGCCCTCCGGTTCCATCCACGTTGCTGCACATGAATATTTTAGTTTTTTAAACGTTTATGCATCTTTGAGAGGGAGACAGAGTGCGAGTGGGGGAGGTGCAGCGAGAGGGGGGGACAGAGAATCCCAAGCAGGCTCCACACTGTCAGCACGGGAGCCCAACGCAGGACTCAAACCCACAAACCGTGAGATCATGACCTGAGCTGAAGTCAGACACTGAACTGACTCAGCCACCCAGGCGCCCCATAAGCTCGTTAATATTCTAATATTAAACGAAGGTTACCTGGTAAAATAAACTGATAGTGAATGGATTCCAAATTTTCTACAAGAAACTTCTGCTCTCTTCACTTACAAAATCTGTTCAGTTACCACTAGGTGGCGCTTTGTTCAATTCGTTAAAAAGTAAAGTTTTCATTGGATTCCTATTTCAGAAGGAAAGTGTACTGAAAAGCAAACATGCTACCAGCTGGATTCCAGTCCTAATATTTACTTTCCAACTAGCTCCAGTTTTCTAGACTAGCTGTGGTATAAATGCAAACTGTGCTTTCCTCAAGTGTCATACGCTGTTGTATTTGTCTCTCGATGAAATGGAAATTTCATCCCATTCCCTTGAAAGGACCCCGGAATGAGATGATGCAGGAGGCAAGCCCTGTGTGGAAGAGAAGCCCGATGTGAATAGCGCCTGAGGGATCACTTTGTGTTTATAGTTCTTGTGCTTTCTTTTAAAATAAAAGTTTTGTAGGGCGCCTGGGTACTCTGGGTTTCGGCTCAGGTCACGATCTCACGGTTGGCGAGGTCGAGCACCTCATCGGTCGGTGCAGAGCCCACTTGGGATTCTCTCTCTGCCTCTCCCTGGCTCGCGCATACACACGCACGGGTACTTTCTCTCTCTCAAACAAACTTAAAAATAAAATAAAATAAAACTTGTGTATTAAAAACTCAAAGTCCCTTTTAAATGAAAAATATTGACTAGCTTTTTCATCCCCTTATTTAATAGTGCCTACCACCCCTAGTGCTAGACATACTTAGCTAAGTCTTCTGCAAATTCATTACTTCATTAAAAACAACTTTGTTAGAAACTGAAATTATGGTTCTCTTATGAACGTGCTCCCAGCTAGAATAACTATTTAAGTAAAATACATGCCTTTTTCTCTCATCGGAAGTGGTAAAATAGCATTTTATGTATCAACCCAAAGACTTCCTTTCCCTCTGTGTCCAACCTGGGATGGAACCCTAATTCTGCTACTTACCCGCTCCATGACCTTGGACAAGCCTCTTCCTGTCTAAACCGAGGCTCTCCAGCCCGTAATACCAATATCTGTCTCCCAGGATTAGTATGGTGGGCAGATTTTTTTTTAATATTGTGAAGTTTTTGGTATGTAGTAGAATGCTTGGTAAATAGCAGATATTAAGTATCAATTTTAGATTAATTGAGTTCTGCTCGAAAATTACATTACATACAGGAGCTTTGTAGGATACCTTGGTTGTGTTCCCCCTTCTGTTTGGTTCAGGTGTGGATCAGACCCACAGGCGAGGCTCCCTCCCTTCTCCATCATCCTGAGAACTGCCAACACCTTTCACATCCTGTGATGCTCTGTGACTTTGCTGAGGAGTGGGGGTGACATG